GCCGGTGGCTGAGCAAGTGCGAGCTCAGGCTGAAGGCTTCGCCGCACTCCGGGCACGGGTAGGGCTTCTCGCCCGTGTGCAGGCGCCGGTGCTTGAGCAGGTCGGCCCGCCAGCTGAAGCTCTTGCCGCAGTCGGCGCACAGGTTGGGCCGCTCGCCTGTGTGCAGCCGCAGGTGGTTGGTCAGGTAGGTGTTGCGGCTGAAGCCTTTGCCGCACTCGCCGCAGCGGAAGGGCTTCTCGCGGGGGGTCCGGGCCAGCGCGGACCCGGTCCCGAAGTCGCCGGCCACTCCCATGCCCATCATCCCCACCACCCCACCGCACTCGGCCGCCAAGCCGAAGGGCTCCAGGCTGGCCACGGCTGCCGCCTCTGCCAGACGGTGGATGCGCTGGTGCTGCAGGAAGGCGGCGCCGGGGCTGAAGCTCTCCCCGCAGTCTGGGCAGATGGTGGGCGCGTCCATGATGCTGGCCATCAGGCTGTCGAGTTCCCCGAGGTCCATGGTCATGGGGTGATGGAGCCGGTGGAAACGGCGGTGGGCAGGTTTGTCACCTCGGTGTCGACCCCCCAGGGAGAGGTGACGCCTCCAGGGAAGCACTGGAGGAGACAACTGCTCATCTTCCTCCATCAGCCGGTTCTCCCCAGCGCTTTCCTCCTCTTCCTCTTCCTCCTCCTCTTCCTCTCCCCGAGGACTCCTGGATATGCTGTCAGATTCTGACAGGCCTGGGAACAGTGTCATGTCAGGCACACCAGGCTGGTCGTCCTCTTCCTCACGGAGGACAGCCCCTTCTTCCTCACTCAGCAGCCCCTCTGCAACAGACAAGTTGGCAATTGGGGTCAACTAGACCTAGTGTACAAAGGTATTCTAGGAGACCTGCCCTTCAAAGACTGGGAGTCAACGGAGTAATAATGCTCCTCCCGGGTACTTTCGAACACCATCGCCCCAGTTCCCCTGCCTCCTTACACTCCAGTCTCTTTCCCACCGGTCTCCCCCAGGTAAGAACTAAAAGACAGTACACTCTGCCAGTCTTTGGGCAGACCCCACCTACTATATACCCCAGACTCTGCTTAGCTGGGCCACTGAAGTCTGCAGATGGCCAGGTAAGATCCGGGGACTCAGGAGGTAGAGTTCTGTCTCCAGAAAAGGAAGAAAAAAATGTATTTGCTCAACCCCACTTCGTAAAGCTAGAGCCTCAAAACACAAGTCATGGAAAGTAAAAGAGAAGACTTGGACACGGAAGGTCCAGAACTGGTTTTCCAGCAAAACCAAAACCATTTGGTCAACCCGGAACAGCTTGAGAGCATGTCCAGCCTTGGACACTACAACCCTGGGCTGCAGTCTATAAAAGTCTGTGCTCAAGAAGCAAACAGTCAAGTCTTAAGAGAATAAAAATCAGGGATGAATATCTCCAAAGTGCTGGTCAAGTATGAGGATCTGACTGATTTTAATAGTCCTCTCTCAAAAGCCAAATGGGAGGCATGGTGCTCGAAATCTAGTGCGCAGGCAGAGACAGGCAAATCTCCCTGGGGCTTGCTGGCCAGAGACTCCCAATCTCAAAATTCAAGTTAGATGATTCCTAAGGAATGATGCCTGAGTTTGACCTCTGTGACCTCTGGCTGATACGTGTAACAGCCCACAGATACACACACACACACACACACACACACACACACACAGATACAGTCTTGAGTTTTAACAACATTTACAATTTTATGATGGGCAACATTTACAGCTGTCCTCAGTAGGAGTTTGGTCACACCTGTGAGCCTTGGGAGATGGGGAAGGGATGACAGATAGCCCAGAACTGGTAAGACCAAACTATAAACTGGTAGAGAATATACACCTGTCAGCCTCTGGCTGCTTCCACCTCCAGCAGAGGGCACTTGAGGAAGTTCCTGGAAAGTGAAGGCCACATGCTCAAGTGCACTGTGGAGGAGGGCAGCAGGGGTCTGGGACTGTGGAATAGGGAGAAGGCTGTAACCACACAGCCCTAGCCATAGGGAGAGGGCTGTAACCACACAGCCCCGACCATAGGGAGAGGGCTCTAACCACACAGTCCCAGCCATACGTAGGGAGAGGGCTGTAACCACACAGCCCCGGCCACAGTGCATGCCATCTCTTTTCAGACCTGCTGTAACCCTGAACAGGACAAAGCAACCAATGTCCAAAGACAGAAACAAGGAAGTGACCAGAGACCCAGCATTTGCTTTCAGGTCAGAAACAGCAAGGGAGGCAACCAGGAACTTAGGCACTTGCGTAACCAGCCTCACAAACACAGGTAGGTCACTTAACCACTAAATTTGCTTATCTAGAGAGGGAAATGATTATTTTACTAGAAATATCAGTATACTTCTCCCAGCACTGTGCTAAGTCACTTTTGAGATTTTTCAAAAAATATTTATTCATCTATTTTGAGTGTATGTGAGTCTGTGTGTACCATGTCCATGCAGGTGCCTGCAGAGACCAGAAGAGGGCACTGGATCTCCCGGAACTGATTCCAGGTGGTCGTGAGCTGATTAATATGGGTGTTTAGAACCAAACTCAGGTCTTCTGCAAGAGGAAGAAGTGGTTTTAACCACTGAACCATCTCTCTCGGCTCCCAAGTCACTCTCCCAACATCTCTGAGGTGGGCCCCAGTATTGCTCATGATTCCACTGTAGTGTTACAGGTAGTCAGGGCAGCAACATTCACAGGTGACCCTTTACTAATACTTACCAGTGTGGGCTCAGTGGTGGGTGGTATTCGAGAAAAAGATGCTCAGAGGACCAACATTAGGAGAGCCAAGTCAGTCGAGAATCCTGCTTACTGGTCTAGAGAGAGCCCCACCCCACCCCCCACATGCCAGATCCCTGAGATGCTGGCCCTGGCTGTATGCCAGAGGAACCAAATGTGAAAGTGGCCACTTCCATGGACACTCCAGTCTTCTCACCTGGACAGACAGTGGACACTATTTCCCTCTCGTGAGAGTCCCCTCTTAGATCGTCATCCTGTGGGGTGGAGTTCATCTCCTGCTCCAGGTGGCCCCTCTCTTCTGTGTCCTGTGGATTGGAGCCCATTTCTCTTTCTTCTGGATCCCCTTCTCTGTCCTCAGAGTTCTCAAAGTCAGAACCCATACCTCTGTCTTCGGAATTCTGGTGTTCATGCACACCCTGATGATCTTCCTGTTCCATTCAGCAAGAAAAGGGCAAAGGAGGTAGCCGAGGATCCCTGCTCAGATAAAACATGGAGAAAGAAAGGCTGCATCAAGCCGGATCCAACCCTTTACTCTGTGTGGTCTTAATTTCCCCATCCAATAAAACAGCTAGAGTTGCAAGCACCAGTAACAAGTCTACTTACTCCCGACTGCATGTACACTTAGGATAAGGAACTGTGTGAAGGGGGACATTTGAGTGGTCACATCCTGAGACCACATGCCGACACTCATGGGACCAAAACTTGACCAGGTCAATCTATGACGTAAATGTCTTGGTGTAAGTTTACAACTTCACGTTGTAAGTAAGTAATCTTTGCTTCTTTTCGCTTTTACTTTATTCCTTTATTTCTGTAGTGCAAGGGATTGAGCCTGGGACTGAAAGCCCTCTACCACTGAGCTACATCTCCAGCTACTTAGCTGTTATTTTGGAACAAGGTCTTGCTAAGTTACCCAGGCTGGCCTTGAACTCATTCTGTAGGCCCAGGAGGTCTTGAACTTCCCATTCTCTGTGTCAGTCTCTTGAATGGCTGGGATTCCAGGACTGTGACATTCCTCTTGTCATTGTTTAAAACCTTCATGAATATTTAGCCTCCTGACCTTTGCTTGTGGCTTCACCATGAGGGGAGCAAGCTTGAGCCACCCGCTCGCTGCTGACACATTTGGCACACAGGAAATCACCGCAGGCCCTCTCCACCTGGGCACACACTGAATGGTTTTGCAACCTCCTTGGTATGAAAGTAAGCAATTCTCTCGCCAGGGATTTGGGGTAGGAAAGGCTATGATGGCATATTAAACCCTAGACCACTCTGGATACTTCTAAACACTGTCCACTGTCCCCAGAGGAGGGGGAAAAACAAAACCAACAACAACAACAACGAAACACTTTTACAGCTGAAAAGCAAAAGTATAGAAAAGTCCTAATAACAATTCTCCCTCGTCTGTGAAGACTCTAGGATAGACAGGAAGCCAACTTTGCTGTCTCAAATACCCATGCTTTCCTCCCTTCTGTGAAGCCTGCCCTACACAAGCCTGTAACATTCTTACAAGTATTTAGCCAGTTACTGGAGCCAGAAGGAAAGTACACTCAGTCCACAAGAATAACAAACATCAATATGGCAACTTCTTATCTAAGACGGTGTCTCCAAAGGCAAACTCAGCCTGGCCCTGTGGCTCTAGAAGTAAGCCACGATGATTCAAGCTGTGGCAGGTTTGCTGGAAGCAAGATGGAGAGGTGGTGGGGCCTGCTGTATTAGAGGCCTTCTCCATAGTCTAACTACATACACTGCAATGTGTCAGTTATAGACAGACTTTAAGAGGGATGTGTACCAGGGACAATGTGGCAGCCCTTCTACCAAAAAACCCAACATTTGAATTACAGGGAGAAAACATCAGATTTTCAAGGCCTCTGTGGATGTCAGGTTTGCATCTCAATCACAAAGGGACTCTGTTAAGGCTGGGCAGTTGAGCCAATAGTAGTTTCTTTCTGCTATCCAGTATGCCTGCAGCTTAGCTCAAAAAAGTAAAGCCACAGCCAGGTCAAGGATCCGGGATCTTGAAGGCCACCACTTCAACCAATGTCCCAATCATCCCAAACAGGACTGCAAGAATAAATCTGACAGGGGAGGGAGCGGCGGCCAGAGATGTGACGCAGTTTCTCGAGTACTCGTCTGTCATACACAACACAAACCCTGAGTTAATCAGACGTGCCCACGTGTCACTGTGGTGCCAGCACTCAGAAGGTGGAGGCAGGAGGATCAGAAGCTCACGCAGCAAGTCAGAGGACAGCCGGGTCACATGAGAGAAAAAGAGAGAGAGGATAAAGCATAAAGTGCAGAAAAAGGTATGGTAGGCAAGGCCATTCCATCCTCCCCTCCTCTACTGAGGCCTCCCTGAGGAAGTCCTGGTGCTGCCATGAAAAGCGGAAGTTATGGGTCGAGGAAATCCCACCACTGGCTCAGGTGGACCCAAGGCAAGTCAATTAACCTCTCATGGTTTCAGAGTCTCATCAGTAGAAGGAGGGTATTGCTACTTAACCTTTCTCACGGGGAGGGCGTCAGAGGGAAACTAATGAAAAAGCTCTTTGGAGGATGCTGGAGAGAGTCGTTAATGCTCCGAGCTTCACTGCAGGGGAAGCTGTGCATCAGTCCTCTGTTGTCTCGGCACACCTCTCAAAGCCACAGCGGCTGCCTGTCATTCTGGGGGACCACCCCATCAGCACCTTAGATCTTTTTCAATAATGAGGAAAGCACCAAGATTGAGCCCTTCCCTACATGTCCTGAGGAAGCCGCTGTGTCTGAACTCAGTCCACAGTATCCCGAAGGACTGTACCTCCCCTTTGGAAGGTAGCTCAACTAAGCTGCCAAGTCTCAAACAGACGTTTTATGGGAGGAAGAAAGGGAAATTATTACAGCCATGAACCTCCTCGGAAGCGTATTCCATACGAGACTTCTGTCCCCGGTCACACTGCACAAGACTGAATAGACAAATGCATCCCTAGAGTCTGCACATACAATGTACCCGAAGGTGGGGAGTGGAGAGGCAAGAGGAGGCTTGCAAATGCGGCTTACTGGTTTGCTGGTGGGGGAGGGACTTAACAAGAGAAAGGATCAATGTTTCCTAAAAGTCAGTGCAGCCAGAGAAAGGGGTGTCCACAAGTGTGCATCACCAGAGAGTCCTAAAACTAAAGGCCAGTGACGGCGGCCCGCCTCCCTGAAGGGTGGAGCATGGTGGGCCAGCCTGGGGAGCAGGGGTACAGCTTTACCACTGAACCCTTTAAATGGCAGCTTGGGGACGGTCTGATGGGTGGTGGTGCGTCCAGGGACCAGACCGAATCCAGTAGCACTGTTTTTCTAACTTTAAAGAGAGTCGGGATCCGAGTTCCCCCACTGTGGGCTGGCACCTGAGGTCACAGTACTTGCCACGCTGAATGTTCTGGAAAAGAGGAGAGCCCCTGTCGCCCAAAGTGGCAGTGTTCACGTATTTGTTCTAAAGTGCCTATGTCTGTGGGAGACTAGAAGTCTGTGCCTGCTACCCCGCAGACACACACCTGCAATAACACAGATTCAATTTCACTCACACCCTCCCATCCTAGATTGTAGGCAGCTGTCAAGCAGTGGTGGCAGCTGTTTAGAGGTAAGGACAGGTGGTCAAGATACGTCAATTGATAAAAAGCCACAGCTGGTTTTAAAATACCTTATCTTCATTAAAATAGACACGGTAGCATATACCATAGCACAAATCCACGCAGGCTCAGAAAGGAAGGCCAGGAGATGGTTATTAAAATGTCGACTATCTCTGGGTCACTTCTTGGAGGCCTTCTGGCTATTAACTCTTATCTTACCGAAATCCAGTGACGTAGGCTATTTCTAACTCACAGACCAGAAACAAGAACAGACGTGATTACACCAAGGTCCTACACACAGTGAACTGCAGCACAGGGTTGGACCATCCCGGACAGCGTCTGGTGCTTTGGGACGTCTTGGTCATTTTTGTATGCATCTATATTTCCTACAGTAAATATGTATTCTTTTTTTAACAAGGAAAAACAGCTACCTTTATTTTCAGTGTGATCAATATGTTAAAGGAAAACCTGTAATTATTCTAGAAGCAGAGGAGTCATGATTCTGTCATCCTAAAGACTTCATTTTCAGAAGGGCTATCTACTCACCGTAGGATAACCAAATTGTCTATGCAGGCACATTTTGCTCCAACCTTTCCTAGTCGTTCTCAAAAACTAGCAACAGTTTTTTCTTAAGCTCAGCCTGGGTTGGATAAAGAGTAGGCAGCATGGCGAGGTGATGACTTTGTAACCAGACTGAATTGTCTGCTTGAATTGTCTGCTCTCAACCAGCTGTTTGACTTTGCGTGAGCCACATGACATAGGAGCTCTTAGCCTGCATCCACGAAAACAAGGAGGCTGCCACCTCCATGCAGGGTCATTCTGAGAGCTTGTAAAATCACATTTGTTAAGGCTGATGACGCATTAGGTACAGAGTGAACAGAATTTACAATTCCTTTATAAAGTTCTAGGTCAACATCTCAACTTAAACCACTGCACACAGTAAACTAAGGTCACTATTCACAGCTATGTTCCCTGGGAATACCTTTCCCACTTCGGGCAGACCTTCCCTCAGCCTTGCTGCTGTTAATAGAAAAAAAACTCACCATGTGAAAACAAGGATCAAGGAAGGGGCAGTTGGCTAAGGGAGCCGGATTCAGCATGCAAAGCTGGTAGTCACTAAAAACCCATCATAAGCTCAGAGCATGGGTCTAAATCTAAGGGAGGAGTGACCGTGTGGCTTAGCAAACCCCAAGTCACACCATGTCTAACGGAGCCTGCTCACCCAGCAAGAGCAGACAGAAGTTTAACGAGGGAAAGGAAGAGAGTAAAGGGAGCGGCCCAGCAGGAAAAAAATAATTCCACATTTAGTTCTAGCGGCTCACAGAGGCAAAGGAGGAGCAAGGGCTGATGGGACAGAGTCCAGGGTGCGGCCAGCACCACCACTGTGCTGTGTGTCCAGGTTTCTTCTCAATAAGAGTTTGGATGTGTGGGGTGGGGGAAGGGAAGGTGGGGAGATAGCTCAGCGATTCAGAGCACGGCTGCTCTTCTAGAGGACCCAGGTTCCATTTCCAGCAGCCACATGGCAGCTCAGAGCTGTCTGTAACTCCAGTTCCAGGGGATCTGACGCCCTCGCACAGACATACAGGCAAGAGGAATAAATCATTTTCAGAGGAGAAAGTTTGAACGTGCCCAAGGCATTGACCACAGGTGAGTTTATCCAGAACGACATGAGGTCAGCTCCACCTTGGCAACTCGTACCACCCCAAACATGTCCTCACGGCCATCTCCATACAGCCTTTCTCTTAAAGACCCGCGGGGAGCTGGGCACCTCCCTAACACTGCTCAGATCCAAGTTTCTAGAATTTATATATATTCATGTTCTTTATTCCTCCACCACGGTCCCAACTTAAAAAAGAATGTTTATCTCCTTAAAGTAACCAGAAAAATGCTCAAGAGTATTTAGACAAACCCGGCTTCATTTGAAAGACGCCTGAAATGTCCAGTCAGTGCACCTGGAAGACGCTGCCACAGAAAGAAAAAAAAAACCAGTAGCTTTTGGATTTTGTTGTTGTTGTTTTGCTATTGGTTAACAACATGGTCTCTAGCCCAGGCTGGCCTTGAACTTTTGACATAGCCAAAAATAATCCTGAATTTCTGATCCTGAGATTACAGGCACTATCATGCCAGGCTTATGCGATGCTGAGGACCAAACCCAGGAGCTCAAGCGTGCTTCCCAGACACTCAGTCAGCTGGGCTGCCATCCCCTGCCTCACAAAGTAGCCTTTAAAAAGGAAGAGGAGAGGGCTGGAACAAAGAGGAGAGGAAGGCAGGAGCAGGACAGAAATTAGACTTTGATCTGGGTTTACTGACATATTGAGTGCCCCCTAGAACTATCTGCAACCTATTTCTTTTGATCAGGGTCCCCCACCCACCCCTGCCTTTTTTAAAGATTAGATCTAACTTCGTAGGGATGGGCAGTCAAGCCCTTACCTCCCAACTGCCTGGATTTTCCAGGGAGAAACCAAGGCCAGAAATAGCACCAAGTGATAAAGCACTAACAACTCCCGCCCGCCAGTGGCGTCCACACTGCCCTGCCGCCCGGTGGGGAGGACTAGAGATCAGCTCTGATAATCCTAGGCAAGGAGGCAGTGTCCCATTTGAATGGACCCAGGCAACTTACCGTTCAGTTGGTAGAGTCCCTCTCCATTGACTCTAGCAACTATCAGGGAAGTGGGTGACTCATTTTATGTGGCAGGTACACTGAGCTTGTGGCCCATCACCTAGGCAGAGTTAGGACTCACCTGTCTCATAGCAAATGGAGGCCGCTGGCAAGCAAGCCTCGTGACTCCGAATAGGCAGGCTAAACCTGGAACCTCCTGCCCACTCCCTCAGACCTTGGATGGACAGGAGTCATGTGCCGAGGCCACTGCCAGGTGGCAGGCAGCCAGGCCAGCGGAGCGGTCTTGTCAGGGAAAGGAAGTGGTGGCTGGGTGGTGGGCCAGGAGTGGCTCCATTCAGCAGCCTCCAGACAGAAGCATCTTTCCTGTGTCCCACTCATCTCAGGGCCCCTTCCTTACCTCCTCAGGGGTAAGTCAGGGAGCCAGCAGCAGCATCTAGAACCTTCTTCCTACTGCTCCCCACTGCTCTGACCTGCCAGTCTCTCTCTCAGGGGATAGTTTCCATACAAGAATCCAAGCAAAGGCAAAGATTTGAAAGAATCTGGCAAAACAACTCCAGCTGGTGGTTCAAAAGGCTGAAGTCAGGACAATCAGCAAGATCTAACTAGGGACTGCAGGGGTTAATCATTTGTCCATCTTCAACAGCAACCAAGTAAAAGAGTAAACAGCTGAATTGCCCCTGGGGGATATGGCCTCAGAGCCCTGCCTCCTCACTGACCAGCTCATAGTCGGGACCCAGGGCAAAGAGTCACCTCACTGGACTGGGGATGTCTCTAGTGAGCAAGGAGTGGCAGCTTCACCCTCCTCCTATGCATCACATCCAAAGAGGCTACTGACCCTCCCCTTGGCCGGCTTGCACAGACACAGACCACACGATACCCAACGCCAGCCTCCCAAGTGACAAACCTGCTGTGCAAGGTGACCTGAGTTCCAGACAGAGAACAGCAAAAGGTGCCTGCAATCAAGGGACGGCCGCTCTCCAGGCAGGGAACGGAATGATGTGGTTTCTGCTCTGTGGTTACTGTCTTTTCTCCTGAAAAGGGAAGCCCAAAGAACACAGCTAGTGGGAGGCCCTGAGTTGTCTCTAGACACAGGGAGGGAGGGAGGGAGGGAGGGAGGGAGAGAGGGAGGGAGGGAGGCAGACAGAGATACAGAGTGATAGACAGAGATAAAGACAGAGACAAACAAACAAACCAAAAAAAAATAAAAAAATAAAAAAAAAAAACAATGTCCATGGGACCAGTATTTCTTGTCTACTGTGTGGGGCAGGACCCCTCAGTTTGTACCACTGTCACACGGGCCACGCCCTCCGTTATGTGACCATTATCCAACTCCTTGTAGACAAAATAAAAATTAATGTAATACAAAGGCAGAGCCCAACTGAAAATTAGATTCTCTGCCTTTAAATGAGAAATCACAAGCCGGATGCGCTCAACTTAATTCCAGCACTGGGAAGGCTGAGGCAGGAGGCCAGTCTGGACTACATAGCGAGACCCTGACTCAAGATTAAACAGTCGTAAGAGGTCAAGATGTTCGTGCAGGCACCTATCCATCCTTACATATGGGAATACATAGAGTTCGTAATCTTCCTCCCTGGTGACTGGCCTTTTACTATCTACTTTTTGGTTCTTTCATTTCTTACTTAGTAACAGAACCCCTGGGCTGTGCCCAGCAGACTTGTCTTCTCCTGCCTGTTCAGCAGCTGGCTTATCTAGTCAATATACTCCATAGACTCATGGACCATGAAAATCTCTTGGAGTTTTAGGAAAACACACTGAAGCTGAGAGAGAGCCAGTGCCTAGGCTGGAGATCAGCAGGCAGATGGTTAGAAGAGGTGTGCCCTAAAGCTCAGTTTACTGATGGTCCCTCCAACGATCCTTACATCCCTTTAATACCAAACACCACTTAAAACAGACAGCTGAGGCCACATGTGGCAGTACACTCCTATGGTCTTGTTATGAAGAGACTGAGGCAGAGGATTGAGATTTTAAGGCCAGCCTAATAGCAAAACACCCCATCTCCCAAAACAGGAAGACTCAAGATAAACCTATGACATGTTCTGGCCCTCCTAAATCCCACACTATGTCTGTCAGGGTTTTTCCAGACGAAACTGAACCAGTAGGATGTATGCATATTTAGAAAGAGAATTATAATTTTAAAAAATAGCTTATACAGCTCTAGAGGCTGACAGTTTCAAAATCTGCCCTGGAGAGCAGACACCGAATGCAATGAGCTGGAAATACCCTCCTTGCGCAAGAAAATCGGAGTTTGATCTACTCAGGCCTTTACTGACGGGAGGAGGCCCAACCTCATAGAAGATGCTAGTCTACTCTATCCAAAGTCCACTGTCTTAAATGTTAACTACATCCAAACCGCCTTCGTGGAGCGATTGTAGACAAAGTATAATGGCATGTATGCATGAAGACGTCATGATGGAACTGTAAGCTAACCTAATAGACAAAACTCATAAATGGCATGTATTTGTTTATTCTCTCTGTGTGTGTATGTATGTATGTGTGTGTGTGTGCTTGTATACACACATGCATACCTATGAGGTCAGAGAAAAACTTGTGAGATCGTGAGAGTGGGTTCTCTCCTTCCACCATGAGGATGGAACTCAGGTCAAGCACCTTTACTCACTGAGCCATTGCAACAGCTCCTTAAAAAACTACCCTCACAGAAATATCCGTCAAAATGTTTGATAATGCATCTTGACACCCTGTGGCCCAGACATATATGACTACATATGACTAACCACCACCACACCCTAGCTAAAATCAATCTGGAATAATCCCTTCACATCTAATCTACCTACGAAAGCATTGCTATAGCCATGAAAGCCACACTATATACTTGGATACAGTTTGTGTGTTAGGTGATGAAGACGACAGGGGGGAGACTCAAGGTTAATCTTAAAGATCCTCAGGCAGGCCTGGTAGTTCAGGATGGGAGAGGTTGAGGTAAGAGAACATGGCCGGCTTGGGTTACATAGTAAGAGCGGGGCTAGTCAGGACCACAGGGCGAGACTGTTGCAAAACTAACCAAAATCCTAAGTAGGGGTGCGCTTCCTAGACACAGGCATGGTGTGACATTGCTTAAGGAAGAACAGACTTGGAATGCAGGAGCGGTGTGTCTGATGAGACTTGCCTATCAACACCCTCGTCCTGGAAGTACTGATGCTGGGATTCCATGTTAGGGTTTTTCCGTGGGGTCAGGTGATCTCAGGAAGTCTTTCCCAATCCAGATGATTCTGTGACCCTGTTTCCCCTGGACGGAGCAGTCCTAAAAGAAGTGTTCTTCACAGCAAAGGAGACGGGGTAGACGTTCTGTCACCCAGATTCCCACGCAGATTCAACAAGAAAAAAGCTGCCATTCCAGTCCACTGCTCAAAATAACTGCGTGGTGTCGCTGATGAGGAATGGCTGGAGTGTTCCGGCTGGGTCAGTGACACCTCTGCGCAGAATCAGCCAGGGTAGCGTCCAGCCAATGGGGAGCAGGGAGGAAACGCGGCTACCTGATGCCTAACTGCCCCTGCCTCCGCAAGTTTTAAAACTCCACAGCTGGACTGTTTTATACCCAGAGTAAAAACCCTCACAGACACTGGAGAGCACATTTCAAAACATTTCCCACTCTTACTCTCATTTCCTTAAAGTTATCAGAGTACATGAAACCCAGATCGTAAGAAACTGCATAAGACACGTGATCCAGTTTCTTTATCAAGCCGATGACAAAAACAGCAAGAAAAAGACAATAAAAAGCAGAAAGGAGGGAGATCCAGTGGTCAAAAAGGTCAAAAACTTAAGTAATACATCAACCAACCTCAAGATATATTCCTTACAGAACCCCAGCCCAAGTTAGCAAACTACAAAAGCAAGTTCTCAGTGGTTGGGTGAGGAATGTGGAGACAGGAGGCGTTAAAAATTCAAGGCCAGCCAGACGGTGCTGGTGCACGCCTTTAAACCCAGCATTCAGGAGGCAGAGGCAGGTGGATCTCTGTGAGTTCAAGACCAGCCTGGTCTACAGAGCGAGTTCCAGGACAGCTGAGGCAGTTACACAGAAAAACCCTCTCTTAAAAAATAAATAAATAAATAAATAAAAATTCAAGGCCAGCCTACGCTCCACAGTGAGGCACTCTCAAAAATCAAAACCGAAACAAATTAGGAGACGGGTAAGGAACCGTGCACGCCAATTAGGTATTTGCTATCAAGAACTGTTTATTTTTTATGATGCTGGTATTTGGCTATGTTTACAGAGTTCTTTATCTTCAGTATATGTATGGCATATTTACGGATGAGAGGATGCATCTGGAATTTGCTTCAACTCATTTCCAAGGCAAAGAAGATTAGGCCGGAGTGCAGAGGAAACAGGATAGACCACGTGTCAGTCACTGCTAAACGGTATCTAAGTTCCTCAGGCTGCTCGACCAACCTTTGTATTTGTTAGACAGAAACGCACTTAGGTTAATAGGTTAATGCTGCTGTTGAGCGTGGCCAGAGAAGTTTTCTTTGCAGTGGGCGGCAGTGCTGATCAGAGTGCTGAGCATGTATCTTCTGAGGTCCTAAACGGGATACCTATATCAAGCCCCGCCCATCAAGGCGGGGAAATAAGAACCAGAGGACAGAGGGGAAGGGCGGTGAAAGGAAACACTGTCTCAGGACAAGACATGGCCATTGCGCTCAGGAACCCACCACTGCTATGGTGACCCGTACAAAATCAAGTTAACGAGATCTGTCAGCATCCCCAATGGGCAGCATGAAGTGGACTCCGTGGGCTATTGGCCAAAAAGAGAGGACAAGAATGGGAGAGGGTGACATGTTGTGGGGTGGGGTGGGGGGTGAGGGAAGAGGTGGAGGTCCCTGGAGGAGTGGAAGGGAAGTTGATCAAGATGCAATTTTTTACATGTATGAAATCGTCAGAAAATAAATAAAAGATACTCTATCATAAAAGGAAATGGGCCATTTTCTGACATTGAGATAAGGCTATAGTCATTCAAATTAAGAGCCAAACATAATAAAATGTCAGAGATTTCCATACAAGGAATGGCCTGTTTCTAAAACTTAGGACAAACCGGTAGTGAGCACTATGCTTAGTACTGAACAGAGCTCCTGGGACCTGAGGCGTGGGGACAGTAGAGGAAAGAAACCAGGAGGAAAAGGGGGTGGATGCTTTTCAATCTTTTGTTTTCCATGAGATATAAAAATTGGTGTTGTTGGGCCAAAGAGACTGCTCAGAGGTTATCAGTGCTCATTGCTCTTTCAGAGGACCCCACTTTGGTTTCCAGCCCCAATGCCAGGCTGCTCAAAACCACCTATAACTTCAGCACTGGGGGAACCAGCACCTACTCCTGGGCTCTCCAGGTATCCAGACGCACAGCATACAACCACAAAGACATACACATAGATACACACATAAAAAATTTAAAAAAAAACAAACCTTAATAGCTGTTGTGTACAAAAGAGAACTGGGACCCTGTTCCTACTTTCAGCTACATTTACATCGTTCAAGATCCTGCAGTAGAATGCCGTCAGCTGGGGGTTTGCTGCTTCTACCACGAACTCAGCGACTCTATACTCAAAACTGACGGGCGTAAACCGGGCTGGCAGTAAAGGCAACAGTTCTGTGGGAGACTGCTTTACCCCTGGGACAGTTAGACTGAGGATCAGACAGAGGAAGTCTGTGCGTGTCAAACAGAGGAAGTCCATCAATAACTGGCCATCCCCAGAATGTTCTTCTAAGTGGATGATAAAGGTATACATAGAAGAAAAGCATATACAGAAGCTGTCTGTGGAAACAGGGTCTCCATGAGACAAGACAAACCCTAGTGGGACAGATTTACTTCATTAGCTAGTGGTCTTGACCCGGTCTCACTGTGTAGCCCAGGTTGGCCTCAAACTCTTGACTGGCCTGCCTAGGCCTCTCAGGCATTGGAATTAGAGGTGCGCACCCCCATGCTTGACTCTTGGGAACTTTTAAATGCAGATCGTGTCCCCGTTAGAGAGGCTTAGGAGTTATGAACCAGATTTTTATCATT